AATGAATGAATACGAGCGTCAGGAACGGTCGTCCATTTGTGGGCGGGCGGGCGTTTTGGGTCGGTATGTTGTGGCTTGATAGGGCCCTTATAAGGGCACCTCCCTTGGAAAAGGCATTATGCAGCGCCTGCTCAGGGTCGCGGAATTCCGTCCTGCCAGGCGTATTAATCCTACTCGTCTTGGGGATTTATCGTGCCAACTGCCTTTAACTCCTTCTTTAACATAACGCCTTCATCTGCATAGCTGTTTCCCAATAAAGAACTCTACGACCGTACAAGTGACGATTTCATGCTTTTTCGTCCTGCAGCTTCGTTTTTCACTGAAAGGCGGGCCTTGAAGGCGGAGTCTGGAGGCGGAGTCACTGGAAAAAGGGGCGTCACTGAACCTATATTCAGCTATAGAGCCCCCCTGCAATTTTTTGCTGCGAAACTGATATAAGCTTGTTCGGCGCAGACCACACTACCCTCCGCTGTATAGCAATTTCTATACCTGATAGCGGACCGTGCGACGGCACCTGCCTGGTAGGAGTCCGGCGCATTTCGCACCGACTACTGCCTTTCACTGTTCTATCTTCAAAGGCCTACGGCACGCTGGTTCAGTAGTCGGTCTGAATGCTAGCAGGGCGCTGTATAAGGGGAGAATGGCGAAGAACGAAGTGAAAAGTCAAAAACCTGCGAAAAATCTTTGTTCTACATGACTCAGAAAGCAATTTTGGACGAGTTTCCCGTTGGCATCGTGCCAATAACCGCTACGGTAGGTACTGTGCAGGTATGTACTAACATATCCTTGCAGTACCGCAGCCGCTTCACATTACACATTACTTCCTTCCGCTCCATATGGTATTTCAGAAATGGAGCAATACGAGCATCAGCACCGCTCGGACATTTCTGGGTAGGCGGGCGCGTTGGTCCGGGTCACTAAGTGTAGATTGGTAGGGCGCTATAAGGGCACCTCCCTTGGAAAGAGCGCCACCCAGCGCCTGCTCAGGGGTGCGGAATTCTGTCCTAATAGGCGTATTAGTCGTACAGATCTGTCGTAATAGGCGTATTAGTCGTACAGATCTTGGGGATTTATCGTCCAGCTGCCTTTAATCTTTCTCGTGCGACGAGTACTGATGAAAAAACGTTCACAGGATGGTAAGAAAAAAAAGGCTGGACGTTTCTCTTTCGACTCCCTAAGGTATCAAAATCATCCCCAGGTTCTGCCATTTCAGTCAGGTGTCCCCGCTTTTACTTGGGAGGTGCAAACGCTGACCAAGACTCAGCGGAGCCTCCACACAGCATTTGCAACGACGGTTTCCCTAGACGATGCGCGGGCGATGAAAGGGCACCTTGAGACACTCAGATAAGAATCTGTCGCGAAATCACATTATGGAATAATATTACTTTTTCTCTAAGCGCCTTTCAATCTGAGATTGTCCGAATCGCTTCCGCAAGACAAAGAGCAGTATTGGGAAGTAAGAGAACTGCACTCTTTCCTAACATTTCCAATCAACTGGTCTAATAAGGGGGCATGGTAACCGCATCAGCATGGGAGAAATGGCGGCGTCGGACAAACCCCGCACACACGAACATTCTCCTCCGGTCAACCCTAAGTTTTTCAACTGCTTTTTCCCAGTCCGCTGTTACCGCGAGATCGGGAGGCCAGATCCCAGATCGGCTTCCTCCCAGGCCAACTAAGTCATCCGCCCTCCGGGGGCGGCAAATTTTCACCACATTCGTCTGGAATGATAAAAATGCTGACATAGAGTGGCACCTTCAAGTCAATGCAGGAGTCTCGTCGCATTCAGTGAAGCCACTATGACCCTGTATGGAACCAGAATGCGTGGCGCGCCCGAAAAGGGAATAATCATTGACAAGCGGTTTATCCTTTATCCTTTATCAGTGATTGTCGAATCCACGGCCTTATCGATGATAAGTAGCCTGATCGTGGCACAAATAGATCCAAGAAAGGTTGGAACTTAGCGAATGAGACTTTTCAAGGGGAAAAACTTTAGCGCTGTTTGGCTCGGAGGGGCATTTTCTCAACAGCTGTAAGCTCTTGGAAGCTTCGAAGTGATAAACTTGGGCCACGCTAGCTACAGGATTTTCTCGTTTTTAAAATTTTCACAAGGCGTTTTGTAAAACATCTGTGAGTACCACTTGATGCCCCCCCCCTCTAAGCTGAACTGCACTAAAACTTACTTTCTCAGTACTTTACTCACACAGCTGTGAGTAATACCAAGCTGCTTAGCAATGTGAATCTTCTTCATTCCATTCTCGAACAGCTGCACAATCTTCTGTCGATCACACGTCAACAGCGGTCGCCCCGATATATACGGACGGCCGTAGCGATTGCGCGACGGATACGGTACTGCAAAGTGGATAACTGTACTTTTTGGAGATTTCGCCAGTTTCACTCTTAAAAAGCGATCAGTGTGGAGATCGCCTTTAAAGAAGATTCGAAAGTGTATAGACCTTGGTAGCATGGAACTTCGGCACTATTTCCCTTCACTGCCCCACTCTATACCCTTCTCTGCTGATTTTTTTCCCGTGCGTTTCACTAGAACTTCGTTTCCGAGGACAATTTGACCCCTTGAGCACAAGCCCAAAACCACATGCCTGACCCCTCTCCCCACAAGTGCCGTCGGAGCTAAAGTACCCCAAAGATCGTGCTGATTGAAAAGTTGTCACTGTAGTTGACCTCCTGAGAGCGTATCACATTGTCGTGGCATGACAACTTGCGCCATGGACGCTGGTGCCAAGAGCATTACTGGAGGTGGCAACCGTGGTGCAGACACCATTCAGTTTCGCTTCAAACGGATGTGATTCTCGTGTTCAAAGAATCAAACTATTTCCTCACAGGGTCAAACTACCCCTGAAAAGAACTGGGGCCAAATTTACCACCAAGGAGAAATGTCGGTTAAAATCTAGCCTGATTTTCGAAGAGTGAGGGCAGGGCGTGAGTGGTGAATGGTGCCGAAATTTCCCAGAAAATTCTTAAAGACAATTGTTCCAATTCCAACTCCGATTTCTGATCCCGTTGAACATCAGCACGAAGAGATTTCTGAGAGCGGCTCAGAGTGGGGGAAATTATAATAATAGCCACTGTTACCGTTTATTATCGGTTGCGATTGAGTAGTTGGCTCGACGATCGGATTCCTTGGGCTAATCGTTTGAGCAAACGATTCCAACATCAGAATGTTACCGAATGAACTGCCCTGTAATATAAAGCTTGTACTTTCCGTTTTCCAGGTTTTTTCTTTTGCAATAGCACAGGACTTGGTC